AACGTGTGCTGGGTTGCTTAGAGTGCTTAGAGCGGATGGAGTTCCGGATAAAGTGGATGATTGATAGAGACACTCTCGCACGATGGAGTGGATTAAGATATCTGTACTAAGTTAGTATGGTGATACGGTAATATTCTGTGGATTCAGTCGGTGGGCTGTTGCTGCTTTTGCATCCGTTATGATTAGCGATACAACGGCGATGACACGCATGAACAACCATGGCCAACCGAGTGGACGAAACATGTTACGAATGAAAGAAGCAGAAACATGTACGCAGTAGATATTGCAAAATGTAGCGATGAGGATTTATCACATTTAGGAAAATCATTGCACTGAACAAAGCAACTTGCTTCTATTTACTGTTTACAGTAAATCTACGTCAAGTCATCTAGCCCATTTCTAACAGCTGCTCCAGCACAGTCTGTTGAACATTTCTAGCGGGCAACAGTTTTACTACGTTGATAGAGCGAAGACAATCACCTAATATAGGTTAAGTTTAACTAAATTTGATTAGCCAAACATTTAATATATATGGCATAAAAGAAATATTCGGGTTTGATAATTAAATCTAAGTATCAAAACTATGCAGACATATCGATTTGAACCTGAAAATCACGAACATACAAAAGAGTGCTCTCTTGGAAGACGAGCGCTGTTCGACGATATAGTAGTATATGGAGGCAAAAGAAGCTGCTCTCTCGGCAAGTGAGAAATACACGCTTATCACGCGTAATTTACAAGTAACACAATAAATTATATTTCTGCCTATGATGATTATATTTTGTTGCGATGGCTTATAGGAGGTATTAGGCGAAGAGGCGCTGAAGACCGTATTGTCTGAACGTAATTTACGCGTATATTGGGGAACCGCCACTACCGGCAAGCCTCATGTTGGATATTTCGTGCCTGTCTCTAAGATATCAGACTTTCTACGGGCAGGATGTGAGGTGAGCTAAGTACTTGCTAGATTCTAGTTCGGACGATTCCTTTCATACGAATAATTTGTAACTGTGCAGCATTTACCTTCAAAAGTTTTAGTTTCATTAACATTTCTTGAGCTCCTATGGGTGAAGTTTCTAACCTGAATGCTAGCGAATAAATTCTTCGTTCTAGTGGTTAAGGAGCCATGGACTGTTAATACTTAAGCGCCACGGACCTACTGATCACTCTAAGCGGCAGATAATGTTACTTTTATCCGTATATCCTTCACACTTGTATCCTCTGTTTATCGCTTTTACTCTCAGTGCATTGTAAGTTTCGGAAGAAAGTTTTAATGATTTTTTTTCACCCCACTATATCCTCATGTATCCTATAACCTCAGTTATCATAGTTACCTCGTTTCTACTATCTGTCGTTTGAAAAGCAAAAGATCGAACAGCAGTAAACTTTATTGTCAAATTGTTGTCTTTGAGTAAAACTTTCTTTTCTTGCTGATCGTACTCTCTCAGAAGTTCTCTGTTTCTCTTCCTTGTTTGTCTATTTCATTTCGTTTGTTTGTTCTTTCTGTGAATGCATTATCTGCTTTTTCATACACGTATGATTTGTGCCATTCTTTTTGCATATTGCTGATATCGATTTATTTACGGAGTCATTCATTGGTTAATTTGTGCCGTCGTTCTAATTATGCTTCAAAAGTGATGACGAAATTTCATCGATTTTTGAATCACCTTATTTTATGGCCAGCACATTATATATTATCTTATAGTGTTTAGATTTCTGGGCTTTTCTTTTATTCACACTGAGGCGGAAGATGTTTTGTCGGGTTCAGTGCAAAGCTTTGAAGACATTATTTAATTTTCATTTCACTGTAATGCTCGTTGTTCCTTTTCGGTTGTGAGGGCAGCTGATTCACAAGGCCTTTTCAATTGTCCCGGTTCTCCAGCAAGTGATTAAACCTAATTGATTGGATTCCAAGGCTGAGAAATGTCTGGTCTTCCATTATCAAGCCGTCTAATTCGCGATCTGCCTCTGGGCTGTCTTCCATGTGTCGATGCTAAGAACCCGCCTTGTGAGTCTCCTCTTATATGCTCATCGCTTGTAACATGCGAACATTTTTTTCGTGTTCAAACCATTGCGGCTTTGATGGTCTGAAGAAAGGACGGATTTTGTGTCATACCCGCCCCATTCTTCGAA